TAATCTGGGATTTCTTCAGATTCCATACTCTGTATGCTACCATGTGGAATTGTGAGGACATTCCAGAATGGGTGGATAGTGTTATTTACTTAGCTGAGAAGTAGTCTCACTTCCTTCAACTGTTCTTAACTTTACTAGATTTTAAACACTGGCTTCCTTCTAACAGTCTATATACATTCCCCCAGATATCTGTACATAGAGAGTCTTCACGTTAGGTGTTTTGGGTGCTGGGGAGATGGCTCAACAATTCAGACCCTTGGTGCTCTTCAAGGGGACAGGAGTTCATTCCTAGCACCGATATCAGGCAGCTCATGACTACCTGTAATTTTATCTCCGGAGAATCAGAAACACACTTCTTGCCTCTGTGGGTCACTCACGTTGCATAGGCACACACAGACAAATATACACATTTACATAAAAATATTTTGGAAAAGATTTAGGTTGTCAATATTCATTGGCATTAAATTATAGTGCCTAAATTAACATGTTGCACGTATTTATAGGCAGCTATATATGGTTTTGATAGAAAGTTTATTGATTTATAATCTGAGTATTCTTGGATTCTTGATGCATTGAAATGCACAGAAATATTAAAATAATTACTAATGTAAAAGACCTCTTCTTTGGGATTTGTTTGATTTTTTTGAAACTAGGCCTGATTCCAGAGGCTCAGATATTTTCCCAGAGGCTTCATATGAGCACACATCTGTATTCCCAGCATTCCATATATTTCATTAATTTCATCACCACTTCAAGGCTCTGTCTCTACTCTAAGAGGCTGAAGTACTTTAGAGTAGCTGAAACTGTAGGTGCTTTGTCCTCATTGCTCTGCCCACCCTGAACTTCTCCTACACCCTGTCCTTTAACACCCTACTCTATCGTTATTCCATTCAATTGCCTGACCCCTTGCCAGACAATCACTGTACCCATACCAGGCACTTAAAAATTCTCAATGCCCATATCCCTACTTTGCCCAGGAAACAGGACATCCTAAACCTCCACACCCTTTCTCCACCTAGTCCTTTCAGTACTGTCTTCCCTGCTCATACCTAGTTCCCTCTATCCTCTACCACACGCCGTCCATGTCATGTTCCCCAGCCCTCATCCTCTGTAGTATCCCCAACCCCTTACTCTCACTCTGCCCTTTTCCACATTCTGCCCTCACTCTCTTGCCTCGTGCACAGTCCTGCAGTCTTCTCCCACAATTTCTTTAGCCATTATGTGGCTATTGTTAGGTTTTGTTTCATAAGACCTCACTATTCAGCCAACCAGGTTTGGACTCAAGGTACCTATTGCTTCAAGCCTCCACTCTGGCTCTCATGAATTTTTGTAAGGACACATTTAAAACCACTGAATATATTTGTAGCTATCATAAAACAAACATTGATTACTATCTCTTTCAAAGACATAGAAAAACATGAAATTACACAAATATTTGAAACTTTCCTGTGGACAACAAAGGTCTCTCAGAAGTAATGTTTGGATTGGGAGTGTTCTAATAGATCTGCCTTTATATGATATTTTTTTCTTGTAGCTTTCAATGTTGTTTCTTTGTTCTCTATGTTTAGTGTCTTGACTAACATTTCATGGCAGGGCACTTTCATTCCTGGTCCAATGTATTTGGTGTTCTGTAAGTATTTTGTACTTTTACAGGCATCTCCTTTAGATTGGGGAAATTTTGTGATCTTTTTATATTATCCTACATGTCCTGTCAGAAATCTTTTAGATGTGAAATTTTCCTTTATCAATTTCTTTTATTTCTATTTTACACCTGAGATCCTTTCATCCAACTCTTGTGTTCTGTTGGTGATGCTTGCTTTTATAGTTCCTCTTTGCTTACTGATGTTTTCCATCTCCAGGATCCCTTCAGTTTGTGTTTTGATTTTTCTTTTTACTCCCCCCCCCCAATTTTTGAGTATGTGTTATTTGTTTAAGCTTATCCACATTCTTTAAAGGGAGGCATTGAAAGTTGTAAATTTACCTCAAAGAAAAGTTTGGAAACAAAAAAAAAATACACACACACTCTCTCTGTCTCTCTCTCTCTGTCTCTCTCTCTGTCTCTCTCTCTGTCTGTCTGTCTCTCTCTCTCTCTGTCTGTGTCTCTG